CTGCTTTAGAATAGATACCAAACTTCCAATTTGCTAAAATTACACAAGATGAGTCCCAGCTGCAGCTTGTTACCCCCCTGGAACAGACAATCAGACCTAAATTCTTCAAAGATTTAGGCCTTAACTCCCATTGATTTCTCACCGTGAGATTCTTTTAGCCATTGGCTTCAACGAGAGTTACACACCTAGATGTGGTGAATACTTAACATCGGGGGCCGCAGAACTCTGACAAAAATCTCACCAAATCTGCCCGTGACAATTTAAGCAGGTACAGCCATCAAAGCACCCCCGCTTCTCCCCTGGCAGAAATTTCCATCCCTGTTGCAGAAGGGAACATGTGTTTGCGTTTCAGGTGCGGTAACCCCCCAACCCCACGGAAGGGGAGGAGGGAGGAGGGGAAGACATTTCTGTCTGGGAGAGCCACCGCCAGTTTTGACAGAGCATCTCTTTCAGATTCCCTTTTTGGCCACTTCTTGATCTTTCTTACCGCAAATAATTTACTTATTTTAAGAGATTATTCAAAAAACCCAAACAAACTAAAACAACGAGTGGAACAGACCTGGCAGGTGTTTTATTACAGTAGCACCATCTTGAAATTACATCTACTTATTTTTATTCAAATTGACAACATTTCCACTTGAGTGTTCCTTAATGACATAAAACTACCTCTTCTTTTTTCCTCTTTGAAGTTACATCATTGTAGATGTTGATTGTTTAATTGTCCTTCCAATCATGCACTTAACTTCCCACTTAGTCCCATGCAGGACATGACTTGAAGACATTAACAATCGTCACTAATGTGGATTGCCTTAGGATGTTTAAGTTTATTTGTAGTGGAGGCAAACGCTCACTGTTTGGATGAATTCTATAAAAGCTGAACATTTTCTGCCCTAGGCAAAGTTTTCAGAAAGAGTTCAGATGGTTTTTCTGGTTGTAATCAGTGCATTCAAATTATGCATAATTTGGTTTTCATGGTTTCAGTGTTGGATCACATAAAGTCAAGTATAATTACTACCAAAAATAAATTTCTGTATGCACCTTGGTATATTCACCGTGGACTTATGACACACTAGTAGGAGATTCACAATTACTAGGAAATTATTTAAGAACATTTTATTGTTTCCCTCAAATGCAAGTGAAATTGCAGTGGTTAGTCACAGGAATTGAAATAAGTGGTCATGAAGTCTTAGTGCTGTTATAAACTAAAAGTAATATCAATTGCTATACCCAATGGGCAGAAGAAAAGGAGGGTGGGAAACCTTAGAGTCATTTCCATGAAAAATATTCCATGATGTTGGATGATATTCTTCTTTACACACACAAAGTGAAGTGAAAAGGGTCTTCTGCATCCAGTAGGGAGTTTTTGTGGGAGTCTCTAGTAGCTTCCAGACAGGTGCCTGAAACAAAACTTTCTATTGCCTATCACAAGCTATTTTACGTATACAAGCAGCCTCCACAAAAAGCATGTCCTGCTCCACTTTTGTTTTTTAAGCAGGATGGGTCTCTCTGCTTCATCTCTCTCTCCAGCTGTGGCTTTAGAAAAAGTTTTGTTAGCCTTAAGATTTATTTTTTTTTAAATAGATTAAATTGGGGAACCTGCAATAGGGAATGATAATCTTGAGAGGATGAACTCTTCAGTTCCTTCTCCTCCTTCTCCCAGATAGTCCTAAATGTTCTTCTCTGAGTAGAAATAAAATGGAACTGGGAAAGTTTAGGAATAAAGAGACAGGACATTAATTCTGCCAATACCCCTACAGGGCCATTTACAGATAGGGATGTGGATAGATGGGCCATTGATTTCTATCTCAATCTTATCAGAAGTGAGATGTGTCAGAGCATAAGCAATGTTGTTCTGCTTTGCTTCTGCTTTTTGCTGCTGAACACCGCCTAAATCACTTTATTTACCATGAAAAGTAGAAAATAAGAAACGAATACTAGACACAGATTTGGATTACCTGGTGATCCAGGAATACACGGGGAGACTATTAATTCCCAGGGTGGCCTTAATGGACATAATCTCTTAGGAGGTGTAACTGTTCACTCCTTTTGACCTTCTGACATAAATCCTGCAGATTTAACTATACACAGCTATATACAACTAGATGCAATTGCCTCTTGTAGTGGCTTGAGACTCCTTTGAAAACTGACTAAAAAACCCGAATTTAGATTAATCAAGGTGTTAAAGTGCCTAATGTTATAAAAGATGTTCTAATTTTACCTCAGAACAGAAAATGTATAGTATCTAAATTTGGTTTTGCTTAACTTAGCAATAGGTAAATTACTTTTAATAATCTGCTAAAACCAGCCTGATTTAAGGTTGACCTTTTCTGGAGGTAGGTTACTTGAAAGCAGTGCCTGATTTCAATGCGTTAATGATATGTAAAAAAATCACATTTAGACAGCTTCTGGGTGTGTCTTTTGCCTGAAGTGAATGCATATTTTAAAGAACATATGTTTGGACTTGAATCTGTAAAGCTGTGTTTATCTGATTTAAAATAATCAGGGACTGAAAAAGACACCATTAGAGTCAACCCTTAACATCCCAATGAAGGGTCTACACACAGTTCACTATACAACCTCCTTTCCTCCACTCCCAACTCACCCAGACTGCTATGCTCCCTCGTCTCGTGGAGGAAACTAATCCCAACAGCCAAAGAGAGAGCTTGAGGGTCTAGTTTTACAAGAATTTTTCTCTGCAGCCATGCTTCCCCCTCCTCAACATCATCCCCTCAGGCTGACCTATATTCAGGCTGCTATGGAAAGGGCCTGTCTTGGCGTAACCACCACGAACAAGTCCTCTTCCTTGTGCAGCTACATGGAAAACTGGACAAGGGAATTGTTCCACCTTGGAACTAAAGCGGGGGGGGGGGGCTGTTATGATTTTTGGTGGGGTTTCAGCCAAATCAGTCCCTTAATCCTGTTGAATATGCATTTACACTAACGCTGATGCCAAACGAGGGTCAGCAGAAGTCCCTTGCTACGTGGGGAGATAACAGGGTAGAGGAATGTGAGACCTCTCATTTTGATACAAGCTTACTTAGGGCAGATATAGTGGAGCCAAACCCATGAAGGAGACAATTGTATTTGCGTATGTACAGTCATGGTGCACTCCCAACCTAAAAGTCATGATGAAGAGACCCCTGGGCTTGGGGGCTGCCAGCGCTTGCAGCATTTGCATCAGGTGTGGAATCGGTCCCTAAGACTTCTGAAGAAAGCACATCTCCCTGGGGGGGGCAAAGACTTTCTGTCAGGGGCTCTGAAGTAGAGCATATAACCATTTTAGAATTCATAATATAATCAGTTTTAAAATGTTTTATTGAGTATTTTGAGAAAAGAAGCTGCAAAGACAAATGGATTAATTTTCTGAATTGATTTACCTTGCTTAATTTAAAGCAGCTTCATATATTATTAGCACTAAATATGCATTAGGTTTTTATAAGGGCACAGTATTCCACGACTGCATGAGTGGTTTTCAAAATTACAAAACCAGAAGTTCTTGCCCTTTTCAACATTTTAATCTCTTTTTTCCCCTGCTTTCTCTTCTCAGATTCTCTCTTGTTCCGCAGTTCACATATGCACCGTGTATATTATTGACTGCTGCGATACAGTAAGTTCAAAATGCTTTGTTTCTATTTTTTCTTTCCCTTGGATGTTAAAACTGACAGCTTAATTACTCTGTTGCCACCTACTAGTGAATCACTGCCCTTGCCAACACTCAAGATAAGACAAGCTCACTTTTCCCAAGTAAGAGGCCCTTTGCTGTGCGCTCTGGGAACTGTAGTACAGGGCTTAGTTACTTTAAATCCATTTTAATTTTAGTAAAGTTCTCCATAAATCTCTGGAGCAACATAAACATGAAGGTCTTCCTCTTGAATTTTTTATTACTTCGCAAAAGTAGCAAGTTTAGCACATTTTACCTAACTATGAACACGACGTGTTCAAGTGCCCCTATCTTGGTATAATGGTGTGAAACAACTGGGCAGCTAGCACAAATGCTGGTGCTTTTGAAACAGAAGGAAGCTTGCCCACTGACTTCAGTGGGAACAGGTACAGGTTAAGGACGGATAGCTTTGAAAATCTGAATTTGGCACTGTCCTACTGGCTGTTTAGAACAGCTCAGCGTTTCACAGGCTTTGTTCATCTAATGTCACCCTAACGTTCTTGAAGGGAAGGCGGCGGCTGCAAAGAAACTGAACAACTATGACATGCCAATGCCGCCAAGACAGTTTTCATTTACAACAAATAAATGAGAGTCAGTTGTAAATATAGCGCTATTTTTTTCCCTGTATTTCGCTTCTCTGCTTCCTCGCTTTCACGTGTAGAAAAAACATGTGTGTTCCTGCCGTGTTTGTTTTCCCGGAGTAATTTCCTTCAGGAGCACCAGCGGTCAACGGAGCGCAAGCCGACAAAACAGGGCACAGCTCTGCACACCCCGAAACAGCCGTGTTGACAGGGGCACGGGATTGTTTGTAGTTACCCAGGACTTGCTGGCCTGGCTTGCAAATTCGTGATTCCCGACTAGAACGTAGCTGCGTTTCTTCAGTTTAAGACACGTCCCGAGATACACCTGGGAACAAGACCAGGGACGAAGTTTCGGCCTTACAAATCTCGGTACGGGAGCTGTCAGGCTTTCGAGGCTCCGGGTTGCCAGTGTCTAAGGTGGTCGACGGCCCTCCAGGTGAAACGTGCGGGTGGGGAGGTGGGAGAGGACGGAGGGTGTCTGTGGGCAGCCCCAGGTCGGCTGCTGCAGAGCAGGGGGGTGCGAAGCCCGCCGTAATCGAATCCATCGCAGGGTCCCGGCTTACATATGGAACTCGAACAATAGGCATTTACTTGAATTACACGGATTACCTCAGAGATGTGGAATCCGTGCGCCCTGCCCACTTCCCCGAACCTCTGGAGCTGGGATCCTGTGGGGAACATAATGGGGCTTAATTACGGTGTCTGGACGAGCCGCGCAGGACCCGGAAGGCAGGAGTTAACCTCACCTCACCTTTTACATGCCGGTGCCCCCGGCCTTGGCTGGGAACCCGCCGGGGCCTCCGCAGCGGCTTCTGCGTTGCCCCGACTCCCGCTCAAAACCGGCGAAGGGAAACCCTCGGGTGAGCCCCGACCCTCCTCCTC